CTCCTTATATTTTAAAAAAAAATAGGCTATATTCGATTTCTGAATTGAGACCAACAAACATAGAAATAACAGAAAATATGATAATTAGAATCCAGCTATTAGCAGTATGGTTACCTAACTTTGTTTAAATTCAAAGTTATTTTATAATTTTGATTCATTATAACAAAATCTTTTATAATTTACCACCGCCCCCTTTAAGTAGTCCCAGCGCCCTTTTAAATGTACTGATATTTTGTGTATCCCCCCCCCCCGTGTCATTAGACCCACTTTGAGAACCACTGATAAAAACCAGTCCCGCTGGTGAGGGCATGGAGATTGTCACGATAACGAGCTAGCTGCACGTCAAGGTCATTTAGGTTCCCCACTTCATCTTTCCCAAACGCCGTTAGTACTTTACATCTGGTGCCCAGCCGCGACGTCTCAGAAAGGCGAAGAAGATTTCCTGTCACCCCCATGTTCCCAAAATAGTGACCTGCTAATGTGCTTGACATAAATAACCGCTACCTGTTAAACCAACCCATTACTTACCTATATAAATTCAAGGACTGCCTTCAAGCCCAGTAAAAGAATTACGTAGCAACACGAGACATGTGGAAGCTTGAATTAGAGAACAGGACAAAAAGATACGGACGTTTCGGCATAAAGCCTTCTTCAGCTAACACTAGAAGAAAAAATGCTCTGTTCTTTGTGATATTTTCATTTCTACTAGGCAACCACACCACGCCCCTTGCTATGAACACATACACCTATAGCACCACCAGACCATAAGACATGCTGTCAACACATACACCTATAGCACCATCATACCATGCGACATGGTGTCAACACATGCCCCTAGAGCACCCCAAGACCATGTGAAATGCTGTCAATATGTAGCTGCCAGATATACCGGTAAAAGGACAAAGTACAAATGTTCCTTGCTACAGGTCGTCTCTATCCATTCAAAAATTAGCGGGTCACATCAGATCTGCCTGATTTAGGACAACACAATGGGAAATAATGACGTCAGGGACACTTTTGGTCACGGGATGATATCACGCCGTGCCTGAGTGACCAAGCCAGAGATTTGTGCCCGGCGCCCAGCGTTTGTTGTAGTAGAGCCCAGTGGTCCAGTGGTCAGAAAACTCATTATCCCAGTGCTCGGAAAACTCATTGGCACAGTGGTCGGAAAACTCATTAGCCAATTGGTCGGAAAACTCATTAGTCCAGTGGTCGGAAAACTCATTAGCCCAGTGGTCGGAAAACTCATTAGCCCAGTGGTCGGAAAACTCATTGGCCCAGTGGTCGGAAAGCTCATTGGCCCATTGGTCGGAAAACTCATTGGCCCAGTGGTCGGAAAAATCATTAGTCAAAAAGGCCAAAAAAATCAGCAGGAGGACGCTTGAAATTTTTTTGAGAACCAAAACATTTTTTTTTAAAGAGCCTGTTCATTAACTGGCAAGAAACTATCTAGAACCATGTTTTTCGGGGACAAACCCGATTTTTTGCCGACTGGCCGAGCCACACTCAGGTCACTAAAGAGCCACATATTCGGCTCGCGAGCCGCGATTGGCCCACCACTGGCATAGCAAGAGCTTCTCCCACAGCTATCAAAGAGACTACCAGAGCATGTGCTTCCTTATTACGATTAAGTGGCACCACGCTCTCGTACAGACATAAATTGAAGGTGGGCGAGGGGGGACTGCTGGGTGGCCAAGCGGTCTAATCTGAGTCGATCCTAAAGCTTGTGGCCTGAAGCTCAAGCCCCAGCAGAAGCTCAGACAAGAAAAAAAGCACCACCAGCGCCCCGGATGTATGGGGCTCGTCAACCTTGGGTGGCTAACTCATCTAAGAGAAGGCAAACTCTAAATTCAAACACAGGAGGTGGAGTACCGCAGGCGGTATGACATTGATTCAATGAAAACTTCGGCAACTCCCGCGTCGTGGAACGCATAAAGAGCCACAGTGAGACACACCACACAGAAACACTGTTGGTCATCTACTGGTCTATCTCCAGTCTTCAAAGTCTTGCAATTCTACAGGCATGAACATAAGAATGAGGCAGACAAAATCAGCTATTCTCAAAGGAAACAATCTCACGTTAAGGCTGCTACTCACCTTGGTCAACTTCGTGCACGAATTATGAACAATATCAAATGGGGTCGTACCTCAACAAAACAAAGTTTGGGAACCCGTGGTCAATCCACTTGTGCTATTTTATTTTCTCCCCTCAAACAAAAATTATTTTGGCGCTAAAAATGACTCACAAAAGAAATAAAAATAAATAAAAAATAAAATTAAAAAAAGAGACGTAACCTCTAATTGTAGTTTCATATTAGCCTCCCTTGGTTCTCCGAAAGAAGCCCTAATAACACCCGGGATTTGATGGCCAATCCGTGGAAGAGACCCGCGCTGAGATAAACACAATGATCAGACCAACCCAGACCAACTCAGCCCAACAATAATAAGCCGCCTAAGAGAATTTTTTTAATTAGGTTCTGGGGGGGAAAGGGGGGGGGGGGAGGTAGTATTTTGTTTTGTTTAACCTTATGTACTATGACGTTGTTTACAATCTCCGTTAATGTTTTTATAATTTTCTGATCCAGTCTGACGTCTGTTGCTACAAAAGTTATTGTTCATGGATCAACTATTCTAGCGCTGAAGTAGCCGCAAAATTTCGAGAATCAAGATATCGGTCTCTTGGTTTTGACAATACGTCTTTACAAAAATGATCAGCGATTTTTCTAAATTTTCTGAATGTATCCCACTAATGGGATTTTTATTTGACAGTGTCTCTTAGTTCTGTTTGTTACTGTTAGGATAGAACTTCTTCTTCTTTTTAAAAGCGTAGGCTTTCTATACAATGGGCATATACATCTTGCTGTCTATACTATGGGCATATACGTCTTGCTGTCTATACTATGGGCATATACGTCTTGCTGTCTATACTATAGGCATATACACATTGCTGTCTATATTATGTGCATATACGTCTTGCTGTCTATACTATGGGCATATACGTGTTGGAGTCTTTACTATGGACATATACGTCTTGCTGTCTATACTATGGGCATATACATCTTGGTGTCTACACTATGGGCATATACGTCTTGCTGTATATACTATGGACATATACGTCTTGCTGTCTATACTATAGGCATATACACCTTGCTGTCTATATTATGTGCATATACGTCTTGCTGTCTATACTATGGGCATATACGTCTTGCTGTCTATACTATGGACATATACGTCTTGCTGTCTATACTATGGGCATATACATCTTGGTGTCTATACTATGGGCATATACGTCTTGCTGTCTATACTATGGGCATATACGTCTTGCTGTCTAAACTATGGGCATATACGTCTTGTGTCTATACTATGGGCATATACGTCTTGCTGTCTATACTATGGGCATATACGTCTTGCTGTCTATACTATGGGCATATAAGTCTTGCTGTCTATACTATGGGCATGTACGTCTTGCTCTCTATACTATGGGCATATACGTCTTGGAGTCTTTACTATGGACATATACGTCTTGATGTCTATACTATGGGCATATACATCTTGGTGTCTATACTATGGTCATATACGTCTTGCTGTCTATACTATGGGCATATACGTCTTGCTGTCTAAACTATGGGCATATACGTCTTGTGTCTATACTATGGGCATATACGTCTTGCTGTCTATACTATGGCCATATACGCCTTGCTGTCTATACTATGGGCATATACGTCTTGCTGTCTATACTATGGGCATATACGTCTTGATGTCTATACTATGGGCATATACGTCTTGCTGTCTATACTATGGGCATATACATCTTGCTGTCTATACTATGGGAATATACATCTTGCTGTCTATACTATGGGAATATACATCTTGCTGTTTATACTATGGGCATATACGTCTTACTGTCTATACTATGGGAAAATACGTCTTGCTGTCTATACTATGTGCATATACATCTTGCTGTCTATACTATGGGCATATACATCTTGCTGTCTATACCATGGGCATATACATCTTACTGTCTATACTATGGACATATACCTCTTGCTGTCTATACCATGGGCATATACGTCTTGCTGTCTATACTATGTGCATATACGTCTTGCTGTCTATACTATGTGCATATACGTCTTGCTGTCTATACTATGGGCATATACGTCTGGCTGTCTATACTATGTGCATATACGTCTGGCTGTCTATACTATGGGCATATACGTCTTGCTGTCTATACTATGGGCATATACGTCTGGCTGTCTATACTATGGGCATATACGTCTGGCTGTCTATACTATGTGCATATACGTCTGGCTGTCTATACTATGGGCATATACGTCTTGTTGTCTATACTATGGGCATATACATCTTGCTGTCTATACTATGGGCATATACATCTTGCTGTCTATACTATGGGCATATACGTCTTGCTGTCTATACTATGGGCATATACATCTTGCTGTCTATACTATGGGCATATACGTCTTGCTGTCTATACTATGGGCATATACATCTTGCTGTCTATACTATGGGCATATACATCTTGCTGTCTATACTACGGGCATATACGTGTTGGTGCAGTAACAGTCTCACACGGCTGCGGCTCCCTTGGCACGCTAAAATGTTACCAGACCACACAACAATCCTCGAATCCCTCGACACCAAAACTCATACAAACGATTGCAGACACACCCTGACCTAACAACATGTGGGAAATCGACGACTTTGATTTATTTTATTTTGTGTTGTTTCATTCCTCAGATTGGGAGTCCCCGGCCTTTAGTTGTATAGTAAATTTGAAGAAGAAAGAAAAGGCTAAGAAACTCCATTCTCAATTGAAAATAGTTCGTAGGGGAAACTCTACCTTCAAGACATAGGAGATGGAGATTGAATGTTCTAACATTGACTTGTAAAGGACTCTAGCTATCAGAAAACAAAAAAGTCCCATTTAAAAAAAACAACTTTTTTTAAATTATATATTTTTTTGAAAAATACAATTGCATAAAATGACGAAAGGGACTTACATAGAACTGATCCTGCAGTTCATGTCCAACAACAACCACAGCGGCATCGACTTCAAGGAGCCGTTCGTCAAGCCGTCCTTGCGCTACGTCTACCCGTTCTTCATGTTCCTGCACGCGGTGGTCGGCCTAGTCGGCATAGCAGGCAACACGGCCATGGTGGTCGTCATAGCCAGGCGGCGTCTGTATCAGGTAGGTCATATGATGCACCGCCATTTGGTGCGCAACATCGGAGAAGGAGAGCGAATGGGAGATAAGAAAGAGAGAGAAGGGATATAAAAAAGAGAGGGAGGGAAAGAGAGAGAGAGAGAGATTTATGATTTTGAACACATTATTTTTTTTCTAACATAGAAAATAAAATAGAGTTATTTGTTTTCTAAGTCATTTCCTGACTTTTTTTAGGTCTTTAAGAAAGGTCGCTCAATTTTTACATACAACACATGGCAAAGAATTTTTAATATACATACATATTTTAATTTGAATGATGATGATGATTGAATACTTTTATAGCGCTTGTGTCCATATTATCTTAGCATGCTCACAACGCTCTGATGCCTTGAAATATATTTAAAGAAAAAAGTGTTAAAATGATTCTTAAATGTCTTTTTTTTTTTTTTTTATTTTCAATGTTCACTCAAAGATTGGGGCAAATTTTTACATAATTTAGGCGCAGCAGCTTCAAAAGAGCGACCTCCGTACGACTTTTTTCTGTGTGCTTCCACACTGAGATCGCTTGTGTCCATATTATCTTAGCATGCTCACAACGCTCTGATGCCTTGAAATATATTTAAAGAAAAAAGTGTTAAAATGATTCTTAAATGTCTTTTTTTTTTTTTTTACTTTCAATGTTCACTCAAAGATTGGGGCAAACTCTTACATAATTTAGGCGCAGCAGCTTCAAAAGAGCGCACTCCGTACGACTTCTTTCTGTGTGCATCCACACTGAGAACTCTCAGTAAGGACTGCGTTGAAGAGCGCAGGTTCTTTTTAAGGATACGTGTTTAGACATCGGTTCTTTAAGATATTCAGGGGCAGAGACTTCGATGTAATGATCTGATTACGTTACCGATATTCCGTGAATTAAAAATGATAATAATAATAATTCGTCTTCAAATCTCACGGATCATTAATAGAAAAATTCACACGTTTTATCATTTTTAATTGTGACTCAATCAGCTTTGGTTTATCTTCAGGACCAGACTTACTTCCTGATGGCCAACCTGGCCTTCGCTGACCTGATCAAATGCATGATCGTGATGCCCATCACCCTGGCCAACCTCCTCCTGCAGAACTGGTTGTTTGGCAGCTTCCTCTGCTTCTTCCTTCCCATGATGCAGTGCTTTCCGGTCCACGCTTCGATGCTGACGTTCCTCACTATAGCCATAGACAGGTAGATGGAGAGTCTTGTCGCCACTCACACGCCTTGGGCGGTAGGAAACTACCAGTCATGGACAGTACCGAGTATTCATCCGTGTAATATCAGAGTACAGAGTATACATCCATGTAATACCCACGATCTTAGGCATCGATAGTTCCGGTGGGCCGGGGGGGGGGGGGGCGACTCCCATTTTTTTTTTGTGTTTTTTCATTGTAACTTTCATGATTCTGATAATAATGTTACATTTAATATTGTAACTTTTCATGACCTGAGCGGACATCTCAGAGAGCAGAGCCGTTTTTAGGCATATCGAGTATTCATCCGTGTAATATCAGAGTACAGAGTATACATCCATGTAATACCCACGATCTTAGGCATCGATAGTTCCGGTGGGCCGGGGGGGGGGGGAGCGACTCCCATTTTTTTTTAGTGTTTTATCATTGTAACTTTCATGATTCTGATAATAATGTTACATTTAATATTGTAACTTTTCATGACCTGAGCGGACATCTCAGAGAGCAGAGCCGTTTTTAGGCATAGAAAATCTAGGCCACCGCCTAGGGCCCCACTGCAAAGGGGGCCCCACCAGGCGCTTTTTTCAAGAGAAAACATTTTGGACCCCCCATGCCGGGGCCCCCTACCTACGCTCCATGCCTAGGGCCCCCAAAATCCTAAAAACAGCTTATGCCCTTGTACTAACACAAAGTCCAAGTCTTAACATATCAATCTTTGTCTACAAAAACTATAAACACTACACAGAATAATAAAATTCTCCATCGGAATGATGATTGAATCAATTCCTAATCAATCCGCTTCTCTCTAGACACTACCATGTCAAGACAGTGGCGTAGCTAGGGTTGGTGTCAACCGGTGCGGTCCGCACCACACCCCCCCCCCGCCGATCCGCCAAACCCCCTAGCTACGCCACTGTGTCAAGACACTCGTAGCTGCTTTTTTTCATTCGTTACAATATGGCCGCTAGGGTAATTCCGTACTTTCTAAAATTAGTATCACTACACCGACATGAAATAGTTCTTTCTACTCAGCGGTAAATGAGCATCAAATAGCATTAAATAACAATATGTTACAATTATATACATTTTTTTAGTAAGCATTATTTTTTTTACTATATAATTATTTAGACTGATTTCTGAAATTTTAGTATTCCAATATATTGCATCGGGTTTTTTTTTGTTTTTTTTTATTTTGTTTTGGTTTTTTTTTATTTAAAAAAAAAAAAAAAATTAAAAGTGCCCCTAATATAAATTCTTCTAAATGGCAATTAAGAATATTTTGAAAGTTAAATTCAGCCTTTAAGATTGGTCAGTGGAGCTTGACTGTTCAAATGAAGATCCATTTCACAGACCCAGGAGCTTGTCTGCAGATTATCATCGAGAATAGGTAATCTCCTACTCTTGTAAAGTTTATCTTGACGGTGCGATCAGGATTGAGATTCGGCACAGTTTAAACTCGAGGCAAAATGTAAAACGATCGGATCAGAAAACGCCAGACGAATCGATCTCCCTTTCAAAGAAATCGATACTGTTAAGTTGGTGTCGGAACCATATTAGTTGCCCGTGAAAGCTGTATCGATACTTTTTTTAAAAATAATGTAAGCTCCAGTTGTTGTTTTTTTTTCCTTTAAGAATTCATTTCGACTTAGTGGCAGATAACGCGTTAGCTTGTTTCTGAGACAGTTTTAGCGATTACACCTCGCGACAACTCGGGTATGAGACCTGAGACACTTTGATCTTTTTGCTGGTAGATCCTCAAACAGATTCAGAGTTTTTAAAAAAAATGCATCGAAGCGGTTATCAAATTACTAATACACGATGGTTCGAATTTATATCTCTCGTTTTGGTGACTATTTTCCCCAGAGTCAAAAGATCTCATCATTACTATTTGAAGACATTCATTCATCCATTAATATCCATGTGGTCGTTTCGATAACATCTGAATGTTGACATAATCTGTGCCCGTGACTATTCAAGATGTATAATCCTATTGTTTACAAAGCCTGTGCCACTTCCATTTTCAGATATCGTCTGATCGTTCACCCGTTTAAATCACGACTTCCGGTCGGCCTGTGTGTCATCGCTGTGTGGGTCGGCGCCGTGTGTGTTGTGCTGCCTTTCGCCATCTACATCAAGTACCTTGACCTCGCGGCCTTGCTAGGTACGATTTTGGTGTGTTCGAAAGAAACAGCAAAACTTATTCAACACATCAATGCTTAATGCTTATACCAGAGGCGCTTGGATAGGATACCGTTTAATGATCTAGAAATCCCTACTCATAAAAGCGTTTGTTCTAGCACTGAACTAGCCATTAAAGAGCTTATCATTGCGTAGCTGACATACTCGTTCAGAGGTCAGGAACCTGCGGCTCCGGCATCCGCATGCGGTCATCTGAAGGAATATATTAGGATCTTTGGAGAAAAAAAATTAGGGCTGCTGACGATTAATCTAATTTTAATAGTTAACTTTTCTAACGTTATTTTGAACAATGTATTACTTCCGGCTCCTATAATATTTAGTTAGCAGATAAAATCCATTTTAAAAAATCCTCCTCACTCCAAAAAAAAAAAAAAAAAAAAAAAAAAAAAATAAAAAAAACCCCCCCCACCAAAAAAAAAAAAAAAAAAAAAAAAAAAAAGTTAACAGGCCCCTGTACTTGTTGACTCTGCAAGAGTTCATACCTAAGCATGTCAGACCTAAGCATGTCAGACCTAAGCATGTCAGACCTAAGCATGTCAGACCTAAGCATGGAAAGGTTTTGAAAAACTCGAATACATTTTCCTTAAACAGTAACACTAACATTTCACGTGTAAGATTTTTCCATGACACATTTTGCAAATAACACTTTGCATATACCACTTCCGTTTAACTTTTCCTTCATGTTTCCATTCCAGGAGAAGATTTCACTGGCGTGGGGATTTGCTATGTGGCCGGGGAGAGGAAGATCGAGCAGTACATCCGGGCTATCTTCGTGACGCTGTACGCCATGCCACTCGCCGTCATCGCTCTCCTGTACGTGCGCGTGTCGGCGGAGTTCAAGTCCAGGGAGGCGCCTTTCATCTCGGTGCACTTCACGCAGAACATCACGACTGCGGAACCCGATGCGGACCGCGGCACCAGGGGAGGATCCACGATCATGAACTCGTGGTCCCCCGTGGAGCCCTACAGCACCGGCTCGCACCACCAGCACGTGCACAGCACCTCCAGCACCATCCTCCTCCCCAGGGACGGCTTCGCGGCCACGCTCCCCACCGCCCCCGCCTCGCGGTCGGACTTCCCCGGCCACCACGCCCACTCCAAGCACTACCACACGAGCCCCACGTGCAGCAGCCAAGGGGACGCCAGCAGCGTGGTGTCGTCGTCCCACGCCCGCGTGGAGCGCCACGCCCACATCAAGTCGTGCCACGGCGAGCGGGGCGCCGCCCAGGTCAACGACGACGAGCTGGACATCCACAAGGAGAAGCGGACCCAGAACTACCTGATCACGATGACCACGCTGTTCGGCATGTGCTGGTGCCCCCTGAACATCCTCATCCTCGTGCACTTCTTCGTCCACGAGAACGACGACAACATCGGACATTACGACATCACGTACATGCTGTTCGCCTGGTTCGGCTTCCTGTCCACCTGCACGACCCCCGTGCTGTTCGCCTCGTGGCGGATGTCCGACGCCACCAAAGACAGACTCAGGGGATACTTCCGGTTCAGTAACAGACTTCGATCATCAAATGGTTCAGAGGTAAGGGCACTTTGACAAATTAATTTAGATGAGGGTTTTCCAAAAGACTAATCTTGTCTGTTCATACCATTTCACTTGTGACTTCATGATAAGGCTACCGTGGTTAAGTAATGATAATTCTAACCACTTACAGGGAAGACTAATCTACTATGAAATGGTAAGGATAGGTTTGACATTGTAATAAAAAGATGATCTTCCGTTAGATTTGGAGTAGATTGTAGATGCTGGTACATTTCTTTATTGAAACAAAAAAGTATTTAAAAATCGAAGAATACATTCCAATAATACAGAGGCTGTCCGCTGGTCTGGCAATGGTTTAGTTAAATCTGAATTTAAACATTTGTTCAATTAAGGGCGTGAGGAGGCATTGTGGGACAGTGCTTGTAATTCTTTGATGATATATCAACAGTAGGAAAATTAACCCAATTTTTTAAGCGAGAAGGCGATTAGACCGTTGATCTTTTTGCCTGATTTCAACGAGTGGACCCAATGCAGTCCTAGGCGAGGAACGCCTGCGCCAAACGTAGACAAGTATTGCGTCAAATCATTCTTGACATTTTTTTATACTAACTTTATTTTTTCCGACAGTTAAGTTTTGAAACTTGTAGAGCCCCCCCCCACCCAACCCCCTCCAAAAAAAAAAACAAAAAAACTCTGGGTTATTTTCACTCTTAAAAAACGACACGTTCGGATCTAAGTGGAAGCAGGTGTTATAAGGAGAAATTTGTGTAAAGACAAATGTATTTTAAAATAATTTTAAGGTTAGACTTCCGATATACAAATACATTTGGGGCCGAATGCGATGGGGGTTATCTTTGTGACGGGGGAGAGCGTGGAATTGAAAGAAAGATGTCACAGTGTGCGTCCCACAATGGCCAACATCCCCGAAGACTGCTTTTGGCCGTTCACGTGGGTTCTCAACCGCCTTTATAACGTAATGCTAGAACATTAAAACCTACAAACNCCCCCCCCCCCAAAAAAAAAAAAAATTATTTTATAATTAGAAGAACTTACCACCCCCGCCCCCACCCCGAATGCCCCCGTGAAAGACATGGACTAATGATAGCTCGTGGCAACGGGACAGTGACAGCTCTGACACTTTCTTAATGAATGTTGTGATCTTTGTCTCTGCATTTAGACAAGCTGTTCCCTTACAGACCAATGTCTTCCAAAGCGGGCGTACGCCCCATAGCGGATCAAAAATCAGAAAATTGGGGGGGGGGGGGAGGGGGGGTTGTTACGCACTGGCTTCTCTTGTGAGAAATTAATCTCCTATTTTAATTTTATTGGCTCGTTGTAAACAGTACCTAACAAAGGACGATACCATAGAGTCAACAATAGTAAAAATACGACACCCAAAACAGTTGCTAGTTACAATTAATAAGATTTTTTTAAAGTCTTGATAAAATTACAAAAGAAAAGAAAATATAATGACAATCATCAACTTAAAGTATGGTGGATCTTGTACCGGTACACAGTTAACACAGTTCGTACAATGTGCCAATGAATATTGATGAATGAGGAATGCGAGTAAACACACCTAAATACACAAAGAATAATACACGTCTCGTGAAGTTAAAACTATCTATCTGAATCTCCGTCTCTCCGTTTCTGTCACTCCCTTATATACATGTAGCGTAAGACGCATCCAGAAAAGACTTATTACATGTTGTTTACATTTCTCGGGTTTTCGAGAACAATCGACAAGATGCTAGGAGACAGTCTAACCATGTTTAATTGGTAAACACGGTTGTAAACAAGATACATCAAAGAGATTTAACCACGCCAACAACAAACCTTACCGTCTGCTAGTAGCCTAATGCGAGGTCAAAGAAAGTTCACGCACGGGGAATGTGTGCTACATAACAAAACAAAAAAAAGGGGGGGGGGCATATATTTGTCTCTTAGAGAGATAGAGCCCTATTAATGATATCCCTTAAATTACGTTTTAAGGTCCTGTCAAAATTGTAATGCGAGTATTCCCCGATTATATGTGTGTAGTTGTCACTGGAACTGGAACTCATGTGAGGGGGAAAACCACGTTATGTGGATGAAAATTGAGAGTGTCTGAGTTGGCAATGCATGGACTCTCCATCTACTAATGTTACTTGAAAAAAACATGCATTCAAGTAAAGCTCTTTATAAGATTATAATTAGTGCTTACCCCCTTCCTTCCCCCCACCCATGTATGCCACCACCCCTGAACTATAGTGATATTCTTATGCCCCCCCCACCTCACGTTTTCACATAAATAAACGCACCAAACGTGCGTATATTTATGCAGTGACGCCATTTCAGTTTTTTTTCAAAAAAGGGAGAATGTTGTTTTTTTTTTTTTTTGNGGCTTGTTGAGTTTTTTCTTACTGAAGGTGCCTCAGTACACATCAAGTTAAATAAGAATTGCCAGATTATGATTGATGTTTTCAATTGTTACTTTTACATGATCGAGTGATTATTTTTTCCTTCCTTTATTTTCTGCTACGTTTGATTTTCTGCTGTCCCACATACTGAAACATGGTGGAAAAAAATATTTGCAAATTCAGGCGAAAACCCCTGCCTGTCCTACCCCACATGGCGTCCCTGTAGTTAGGTTTGGGGGGGGGGGGAGGGGTGGTAGTAATTCAATGTCTCATACTCTCCACTCAACTGACATTTTGAGAAATTGTTAGGAAAGGAAAAAAATAATTTTGTGGCGTCGGCTTGGTTGAGGCTTTTTATGTTCGGTAAACCTGCATGACGTCACGTGGCCATCGCGTTGTTAAAGTCAGGGTTGGAATTATACACAAACAACCACTAAGAACAATCAGAGTCATCCGCTCACCCTGCTGCTTGAAAGCACTGAGAAAATTAAGCTCTTCAGAACGTCACTGCAACAAATATTGACATTTATACACAAGGGCTGGACGCGCGGAGGGCAAAGGTCAAGCCGGTGATTTATTTCTTCATCGGGAGCTCTTCCCCTCTACGGGAGAGCGTCAGCTCTCTTAAGTTTGCTGGGGTCTGCATAGCTCTGCTGGGCTCGCCTCAAATGGTTTCCGGGGAATGGGGAGAGGCCCGGAGGGGGTGGGGGTCGGGAGGGGAACTCCGAAATCAAGTACGCGGCCGGAAATAAATGTAGACGGAAATTTGCCGAGAGGGTAGGTGATAAAATCGATAGTTTCTTGTGATGTAAGACGGAAGTGCACATATGGGGTAGCGCTCTGATTCAATGATGAAATCTCAGAGTGGATTGGGGAAGGAGGAAGCTAGTCTGACAGGGGTGTAGCCACTGATTACTACAGTGATTCCGTTCACTTTCCAAGCGAAACATTTGGGGAAGAAAATGGCTTACAATTTTTTTTTTTATATTTAAAAAGCATTCCTATGAAATTGTGGCTATGGATGGTTTTGTGCTAAAAGTGAAGTACTAAAAAATCAGAGTTTTAAATATTATTTCCCTATATGACGAAAGTTAAAAAGATTATTATAACATCTTATTGCTTTCAATTATTATATACTCTTTCAGAGGGTGGAGAAAAAACATATGTGTGTAAACTTAAATGCACGTGTTATGCATAGGGATTTTCAGTGTGGATTGATACGATGATTATCGCCCAGTGGAGTTGCTTTAGGGCAGGTGCTCAAAAGAATCCACGGAACATAAGACATAAGAGCCGTTTTGAAAGCAATTTACGAGTTCCTGTAATAGAGTAGGATGATTGCTGCCCACTGAAATTAGAAGTTGCCAGAGGGCAAATGCTCAAAAAGAGTCTATGGAAAGTATTCTGTTTTGTTTGGCCTAGTGCAGAGTAGGATTATTTTTAAACTTCTGCATAGAGATATTTCTAGCCACCGCCTCTTAGATATGTCTCGTTGGCTTAATCTTGAAATTGACGTCACCGTGTGAATGTGTTGTAACTTTATTTTTCTGCCGGCCCCGTCCTGGCTGGGGAAGAGTTTGTACATTCGACTGTGTTCCATTTGTTCTCAATAATGCTAATAGGTGACCCAATTTCTAGATTTTCTGTACTAGAACGTTCGGATTTAATTCCTATATAAAGCCCGCCAGGTTTCTTAGCAGAGACACTTACCGAGACTTACCGAGAGATAGACTTAGCGAGACTTATAGATAAACACAAGAGACGTTTATATGATTGTGTGTTTAAATTAATATTTCTATATTGAGGAATGTACCTTTTAAAATCCTTTATATTAATAATACTTTCCTTCGTGTGTTTCTTTTGTCTGGCTGGGTGATTGGTCGAAATCTTCGGATGGCTAATTGACCCACTTTCCGTCAACATATCCAGCTGAAACTTGGCACATAGACTCAATTTTTCAATTGCAACACATTCTTTCAAATTTTCAGCCCTATTCCCCAACCCCAGCCCCCAAAAAGCAGTTGATCATATTGTTCAAAGGGGAAGATGAAGGAAATAGGATGACACCGATTTCATGAAATAACATTTCCGATAACTGCGCCCTAAATGAGATTCATAAAAATATCACAAGTGCGTTTGATGCGTAATGTTTAATTTTTTCTTTCTGAATTAGTTGGTGAAATAAATCTGCGGTGTACAGGCGGGTGGGACATGAGAATACGAATATAAAACAAAATAATTTGAAAAAATGCAAATAAATGAGATACGAAATACTTTTTTTAAATGGGTTGTTTAATCATGTCTAGTCTTAATGACATGGTACATCTACTCATTCAACTTTGAAAAACAGACACCCCCCCCCCCAATGGACAGTTCAACTCGGAAACTGTAATAGGGTGCTTTTGCATAATGAAATAGATGCTTGTCTTTAGGCCAGTCAATAATAATTAAAGTTTTAAGCATTTTAAGTGCTATCTTTTCCAGCGTCATCTTTCAGTCTACTTAGATCTAGTCTTTCTTCACAAATAGACGGCAAAATGACCCTAATTTTAAGTTCAAATTCACCTTGAATTTTCCCAGATAATTGTATGTATGCTCTTGAGAGTGTATAAGCAG